ATAGCCAGCTTTTATCTCCAAATTACTGAAGTTCCTGCTGCTGTACTTTGGACGGGATACGCTTCTGCCGTCTTGGTGAGTAGTGCTGGTTCCCACTCAGATATGTTCTGTATTTGTCACCAAACTGAGGGATACTGACCGTATAACTATGCTAGTCTTAGCAGTTTTAGGTCCTATTTAATCTGCCAGCAGGTTCCTGTATTTTGTTAATATGGAAACCCTATATTTTGCTTTGCAGTGGACCTGGAGGACAGGATTGACTTCGAATTGAGAGAAGGCCTCGTGGAGAGCAGATACTGGTCAGCAATGACGTCGCACACCGCCTACTGGTCCTCCATGGACGTAGCCCTCTTTCTTCTGACTTTTTTGTACAGAGAAAGCCAGGAAGAAGATGAAGAAAGCCCAGACATGGAGGCCCCTCATTGATGTGTGACCCTGTGGGTGAAGGCTTGGTGTCTGCTCCTGTCTGTGACACGCTGACATTTCAGGGTTTCGGTTTAAGTGCATGTTTGGATGTTTTTGTCCATAAAGGGCGGCACTTTTTTTTTTGTTTTTTTTGGTTTTTTTTAACGTTACATAAAATTTTAGTTTTATTTACAGATTTAATTTTATTTCTCAGTAAAATTTCCTTCAGTTCCACAAGACATTACAAGGGAACTACTTGTGGGCAAAGTGAGTGCGCCTGGATGTATGTCTGTGTGTGTTTCCGAATCTCATAATGTCTGCTTAGGTTATGGTCACCCAATTCTGCAGTAACATGGACTGTTACTTTCCAATGCTCATTCAGAAAAAAACTGGAGATATACAAATGTGAAAGAATAACCTTCTATCAGACCGTGACATTTTACATATATAATATAGAATAATAAGTTGTTTTCTGCATATACAATGCCACTGTAATTGGATATAGAAGGAATATTGCACACAATATAGACACACCAGGAAACGCTGTTAGTGAGGTCATATAGTTGGACTCCAGCAGGTAACGGAATTCTTCATTTCAATGGATTGCTTGTTTCAGTCTTGGCGTTTGGCGGAGTCTTTAATAACAAGTAGGAAGTCGCTTTTCTTTTGCGGTTTTTGTGCATGATTGGAGAAATCATGTAAATGCACAAAAAATCGATATCTAATGGCATCGTCAGCAGTTGAATTCTGAAACGATGCAGTCGTAGATTATTTGGTGGTGAAGCTGGTGGCTCAGAGTGTAAATGCTTTCATTCAGGGATTAAGCACAGTATAAACACTTTAAGGCAGGTGCGCTCCTTTCATAAGCTAGCAAACAGTTTTCCGATGTTACTGATAGAATTGATCAATTAATCACACTGCCAGATTGTTGCTAAATGTATAGGCAAAACGTTAACAGGATGTATGCATCTCACAGACTAAGAAGCCAGAGTTCTGCACATATACAGTTTGCTCTATACATTGATTAGCTCCGTCTATAGATCTTAAGCCAACCATTCCTCAACTACTTCCACATGAGTATATTTCACTATTCTTTACAGACCTAACACCACGGGAAACGAAAGTAAAAAAACTGCATCCTAAGCAGCCTTAATGAATGCCTGGATCCATTTCTGTGTCTGATTAATATATGAAATATTTATAGCTTAATGTTACCTCTCATAGATCTATTTCATTTTCATTGTAAGAACAAGAATTATTTTGTACATATTTTTGTTGGCCTAAAAACCACTTTAATTTTCTACATTTTTCTGAGTTTATTTCCCAAAAAATACTTATCTTTGTATTAAAATGACACTAGCACTTTCTCCGTACTATTTTCATTACGAAAAATTAATTCTTTGTGGTTTCACATTAAAAGAAAAAGCGTTAAAATAATTTAAAGATTACAAAGCTGAAGGTTTTGCAAGTGGGTGTAGTTTGGAGGATGTTGAGACTGATAGTTTAAAATATTACACATATTATTAATTATAAACATGTTTGTCAAACAGTTTAAAAATACAGACTACTCACCAGTATGAGAGAATAAAGGATAGACACTAGGATTGAGAGCGATGTTTAGGTTGAATATTATAGGGAAAATCCAATCCGGTTCGGCAACAGCAAATCGGTCCATAGGAATATCCAAGAGAAGGTCAATATCCAGTCCGGTTCGGCAACGCTTAATAAGCAAAGTAAGGAGAGTCCAAGAGAAGTGTCAGTCCAATCCGGGTCGGTAATAAGCAAATCATTTTAACTGGGAATGAACTTTGAAGGAATTGGAAGAGTCACTGGGACTTGGTAGAAAGGTACCTGTTGCAGAGTAAATAGGTGTCAACTGCACACGGGTAGAGACACATTAATTGTGCACTGAGACCTTGAAGGTTTAAATCGGTGAATCCATGAACTTCAATTAGACTCTTAAAGTGATAGAATGGAAAGTGAGGTGAACCATTTAATGGAACCGTTACAATATTCAAACATACATTCTCACTAATAAGCTGTGATCATGGATTCCGATGACATATCAGGTCTGTCACCTTCCCATAATCCTTCACCTTAACTGAATGTTAATAATCTACTGTTTTCTGATCCAGCTTGTTAGTTTACTGCATGGAAGCTGTTTGGTTCTGGGAGCTGTGGGGAAAAGAAAGAAGACTGTTTGGATCTGGCGGCTGTGGGAGAAGGAAGGGGGCTGTTCGGTTCTGGCATCTGTGGGAGAAGGAAGGAGGGTGTTCGGTTCTGGCGGCTATAGGAGAAAGAGGCTGTTTGGTTCTGGTGGCTGTGGGAGAAGGAAGGAGGGTGCTCGGTTCTGGCGGCTATAGGAGAAAGAGGCTGTTTGGTTCTGGCGGCTGTGAAAGAAGGAAGGAGGGTGTTCGGTTCTGGCGGCTGTGGGATATGCAAGGAGGGTGTTTGGTTCTGGCGGCTGTGGGAGAAAGAGGCTGTTTGGTTCTGGCGGCTGTGGGAGAAGGAAGGAGGGTGTTCGGTTCTGGCGGCTATGGGAGAAAGATGCTGTTTGGTTCTGGCGGCTGTGGGAGAAGGAAGGAGGGTGTTCGGTTCTGGCGGCTGTGGGAGAAGGAAGGAGGGTGTTCGGTTCTGGCGGCTATAGGAGAAAGAGGCTGTTTGGTTCTGGCGGCTATGGGAGAAAGATGCTGTTTGGTTCTGGCGGCTGTGGGAGAAGGAAGGAGGGTGTTCGGTTCTGGCAGCTATGGGAGAAAGATGCTGTTTGGTTCTGGCGGCTGTGGGAGAAGGAAGTAGGGTGTTCGGTTCTGGCGGCTGTGGGAGAAGGAAGGAGGGTGTTCGGTTCTGGCGGCTATAGGAGAAAGAGGCTGTTTGGTTCTGGCGGCTGTGGGAGAAGGAAGGAGGGTGTTCGGTTCTGGCGGCTATAGGAGAAAGAGGCTGTTTGGTTCTGGTGGCTGTGGGAGAAGGAAGGAGGGTGTTCGGTTCTGGCGGCTGTGGGATATGGAAGGAGGGTGTTCGGTTCTGGCGGCTGTGGGAGAAAGAGGCTGTTTGGTTCTGGTGGCTCTGGGAGAAGGAAGGAGGGTGTTCGCTTCTGGTGGCTCTGGGAGAAGGAAGGAGGGTGTTCGCTTCTGGTGGCTGTGGGAGAAGGAAGGAGGGTGTTCGGTTCTGGCGGCTGTGGGAGAAGGAAGGAGGGTGTTCGGTTCTCATGGGCTGCTGTGGGGAGAAAGAGGCTGTTTGGTCTCTGGCGGCTGTGGAGAAGGAAGGAAGGAGGGGGTGTTCAGTTCCATGGGCTATGGGAGAAAGAGGCTGTTTGGTTCCTGGCTGGCCGTGGAAGAGTGGCGTTCGGTTCCCATGGGCTGTGGGATATGGAAGGAGGGTGTTTGGTCTCTACGGCTGGGAGAAAAGAGGCTGGGTTTGGTTCTGGCGTGGCTGTGGGAGAAAGAGGCTGTTTGGTCTCACATGGCTGTGGGAGAAGGAAGGAAGGAGGGTGTCTTAGTTCATGCCATGGGAGAAAGAGGGGTTGTTTGTCTCTGGCTGGCTGTGGGAGAAGGAAGGAGGTCTGGTTCCATGGCTGTGGGGAGAGGCTGAAGGAGGGTAATGGAGCCCCATGGCTGTGGGATAGTGGAAGGAGGGTGTCTGGTTCCCCATGGGCTACAAGTGGGAGAAAGAGGCTGTTTGGTTCTGGCGGCTATGGGAGAAAGATGCTGTTTGGTTCTGGCGGCTGTTGGAGAAGGAAGGAGGGTGTTCGGTTCTGGCGGCTGTGGGAGAAGGAAGGAGGGTGTTCGGTTCTGGCGGCTGTGGGAGAAGGAAGGAGGGTGTTCGGTTCTGGCGGCTGTGGGAGAAAGAGGGTGTTTGGTTCTGGCGGCTGTGGGAGAAGGAAGGAGGGTGTTCGGTTCTGGCGGCTGTGGGATATGGAAGGAGGGTGTTCGGTTCTGGCGGCTGTGGGAGAAAGAGGCTGTTTGGTTCTGGTGGCTGTGGGAGAAGGAAGGAGGG